AACTAACGGGGACTTCAGGAAATCAGGTCGGCCAAGTCAGTGATCTCTTTTAAGTCCCTTCTTATAACACTTTTACTGGAAATCCTTTATGTTCATTTAAACTGTTTTCCATTGCCTCAGTTTTTATACACCACAGTGTTTTTACCATTTATTTTAAAAGTTGTTGTTTTCACGTCTTGTCTGTTTTAATTATTGACATGTGAAGCACTTTGTTACTCTGTTTGAAAAGTGCTTTCATATCACAGTGTACCTTGTAAACTGGTATACTGCCTGCAGCCCTAATGTAACTGAGTACATTTACACAAGTATTGTACCAAGGAAAGCTGCAGTGCTGATCCATTAGAGCCGCTAACAAACACCAAAACTGACTGACCGACTGACCGTTCCCACAATACGCTCAGTCCGCTAGTTGCCACAGTCAGGAGAGTTGAGACATGTTGCTGTTACAGAGGGGACGGAGGGTTCAGTTGGTGACAGAAGCTGCCACCAGAGACATCACTGGCCAACAGATCAGCCAAAAGCAACATATAAGTGCAACAGTGGTTACAATGGGTCTTTAACTGAAGAAGAGTGGTTTACTTTACTTTAGTTGCTCTTCCAGTCCAAATCTGAGGTACATGTACTTAAGTATTTTCATCTCATGCCACATTACACTTTACTTCCCCAAATATATTTGATAACTTCAGTAACAAAACTGCTGAAACCATTTGTCAACTGAAGAAAAGAACTGGCAACTCCTTAAAGTCGTTTTTAATGCAGAAAAACATTTCATGTTTCCAGCTTCACTAAGATTTGCTGATTCAAACTGTTCTGCATTGAGTATTTTTACTTTCAAGTACATTTTCCTCTGTAACCTTATCTTCAGTGTTGGGTTGCAATTACAGAATTCATATTGTTCATTCAGAATGAGCCTTAAAGGAATGAAAATAGGAGGGTTATTGTTGGTTACCTCCGTCCAGTTGAATTCCCCCCCCCCCCCAATATCATAGATAAGCAAATGTACACAGTATGATAACCATCAACTTTTATATCATGGTATACCTTGAAACGGGTATATCACTGCAACCATGCTTAAGTAACACTTTCAGTGCAGCACTTTTACCTGTAACAGAGTACTTCTACAGTGTGGTGTGAGTACTTTTACTACAGTAAAGGCTCTGAATAGTTCCTCCACCTCTGGTTACTGACAGTACATATACTGTGATGGCAACACACAAGCCTTAAGAGTTCCTAAAGCTGGTTGATGTTGGTTTAAAACAATGATTGAACTGTGTCAGACGTTTTATTAATGAGTCGGATAAAATTACATATAAACAAACAAAAATGATCTAATAATCTTAAGAGGTGTAAAGAGTGTCCCTGTGGTTCTTCATGGTGTCTTACACTTTGTGTATTTTGTGTCTTTATGGTGTCACCATGTTATATTTTTACTTTGATTGCCTCTGGACAGCAGTCTGCAGTATCCTAACATGAAACAGGATGTAAAAACTAAACAGTTTTAATAGTTGAGCTCCTCTCCGTCCTGTGCAGCTCGCTCATGAACCTGCCGCGCACTGCGCGCTGTGCGTAATTCTCCCTCCTCATCTCCCCAATAACTCAGGCAACAACCCGCTCAGCAGGCTTCACGTCAACAAAGCTCTCTCATCGAGTTACCTGTTTTTCTGTCGAGCCTTCAGGAAGTTTTTTCCAAACGGAGCCATGACTCAGGAGCGCGAGGAACAAACACCAGCAATCCGAAAAAAAACGTTAGAGTCCCAGCATGGCAGGACGTCCCGCACTTTGTGGAGTGTTTGAGAAAAGTTGGAGGGTGTTCCACTTCAACTCTGTCCGCCCCGTCCGAGCAGCGGAGGGAGGTGTTTCCCACCGACTGCACGGGTGGATCTCTGCCCCCCTCCTCCACCTGCAGGAGCAACCTGAGTAACTACCACCGAGGAATAATAAAAGAGGCAAAATGAATTCTTTGGGCAGTTCACACAAAGTCACAGAGCTCCGTGAAAACAGTGAAACATTAGGAATTAAAACGCAACACAGTAAAGAAGGATTAAGTCGGATTAAACTCAGTATTAGGTGGAAAATTCATCAGAAAATATGAAGTTATGGAGCCAGAAATTGCAGAAATCCCGTCAGGAATATGGTGCTTATTTTGGGAATAGCCTTCTAAAAACTAAAAATGTTCTTGTATGAGCCATATACACAAATATGAAAAATACATGACAGAATATTCTGAATATCGGCCATTACATGCTGTGCAGTAAACACACACAGTAATGCACACTGGTTTTGTTTATTGGGATACTTCACATCCAAAGGTGCCACTCAGAGGCCACACTCAGTAATGTATAAACATGATTCTGGTCTCAGTGAGGAAGCTGGGACCTCTGGAGGTTTAGTGAGTGGCTCTCCCTGCTGGATTCAAATGACAAAGATGGAATTCAGACATGAGAGGAATGGAGCCTGCTTTGACTTCACTCTGCTTTTAAAGCTGAAACATCTTCTGCAGAACACACAAACTGATATTTACACCATATCAGAAGGACAGAACTCCCTCTGGGGACCGGTTTGTGTTAAACTGAGGCTGATCTAGAATGTGCTCACACTCAGTTTGTGGCTGCAAGTCAAAGTGGATTTAGTGTAACACATTATACACACAGTGTCTTTCTAAATATCCACTCACCTTTTTATATTATTTCAAAGTTAAGGCATCCAAGTTTCGGATGCCAGTTTACGTTTGTGTTTGGTAATGAACAACAATCACAGACGATCATAAATAGAACAATTACAAAGACATCAAACAGGCATTTTATAAACAGGAAGTGAGGAAATGACTTAATTATATCCTGGGAAAGTTTACTGCTGCTGCTAATGTTTAATTTAAAGGTACAGTGTGTCCGATGGTCTAGTGGCATCTAGCGGTGAGGACTGCAGATTACAACCAGCTGAAACTTCTACTGGTTAGAATTTCTTCAGAGTTCAAGTCTGCGTTTGTGCGTCTGTTTCACATTCCAAATCTTTTTTTCTGACATCGTTCATCACAGATAGGCTTCTAACTGTGGTGGCTGACCCGAAAACGTGAAAACACAAATGGCCCTGTTAAATCCAAACTTTGACTGTGCTTGATTTGTCCGTTCTGGGATACCTTAGAAACATGGTGATACAACATGGCAATCTCCGTAGACAAGGACCTGCTCCCTATGTAGATATAAACGTCTCATTCTAAGGTAAGGACACACACAATGACTGTTATTCTCACCTGATTATACACCAAAGAAAACTGACTTTTCAAATTATCATCAATATATATTCACACACTGACATTTAAAACATTTATGTAATTCATTTCTGTTCACATAAAGTCCAAATCAAAGCACCAGCACCTGAAGCAGGCAACAAATAATCCGATGTGATACTGTATATGGACGTAAAATAATCTTTATCTCTTGTTTGTTATAGGCTTCACTGTAAATACACATCAGGTACGTGTATAATCCAGGTTAGAAATATATCAGAGTAAAATAATCAAAAGTAACTGATAAAAAAAATCTGAATAACATCTTTGTTAAAAAAAAAAAATCAAAAAGATGAGGGGATCTAAAACTGATCCTTGAGGGACTCCCAGGTCAACACATTGAAATTTTTTTTGGAATAATTCGTATGACATTAGCTCAATTTTAACTGCAACATCAGCAATTATTCAGTGTTAAAGTCAGATCTGAATGGACACTGGATTTACTTTAATTGTGTTTTCTGAAAGATCTGTTCACGTTTCTGTAGCATGGAGAGAAATTCCTCAGCTGCACAGAACCTGTTTATTTAAACCTGCATATTCAATGGTGTTCAGAAGTTTTAAACATTGGTTTCATGTGAAGAATGAACATCTTTATTTAAAAAAAAAAATCAAAAAGATGAGGGGATCTAAAACTGATCCTTGAGGGACTCCCAGGTCAACATATTAAAAAAAAATTGGAATAATTTGTATGACATTAGCTCAATTTTAACTGCAACATCAGCAAATGATTCAGTGTTAAAGTCAGATCTGAATGGACACTGGATTTACTTTAATTTGTTTGTGTTTTCTGAAAGATCTGTTCACGTTTCTGAAGCATGGAGAGAAATTCCTCAGCTGCACAGAACCTGTTGATTTAAGTGTTTAAACATTGGTTTCATGTGAAGAATGAGCTTTGAACGTCAGCTGAAGCCAATGTTGAGGAGATGTCCCTTAAAATGCTCAGAAAAAAGGAAATGTAAAAATCTACAATTTAGGGACCACTGAGCATCTGCTGATAAAGCTCACACAGTATGATCAAAAGCTCTAGAATACCTACTAAATGGACCCTGAAATGGACATGTTTCAAAAGACTATTTTAAAATACCAATAATCAATAACGTCTAGGATGATTTTTATTAAAGAAGTTTTAGGTGGTGCATTATTTTTGATGTATTCAGAAGGTTTCATTTTGATCCATTCCACTTTTAAATAAAAATAAATTTGCAGAGCTATAACTTTTCACTATGTTTCGTGTCTTCAGTAGGCGCCCATTTGGTTTGTAAGTCTCAATAATCACCTGTTGCTTTAAAAAGACACAAAATATGCTAAAAAGAAAAAAGATGCGATGAAGCACATCTTCTCCAAACAGTGACACAAAGAGTGAACATTTGTCGTGCATCCTCCCACGTCACCCCTGCATCCCGTCTCTGGGAGACAAAACAAACCTCAGACTGTGTGCATTCATGAGGTGAAATAACCAAATCTCCCAAAGCTTGACGCAAAAACCTTTCGCCTTGTGATGCCAAAGTGACGTCTGATGAAATGATGACACAGTGATGGGAGGGAAGAGACGATATGGAGGGACTGATGGGTGATGGATGGATGAAGGGGGCTGTGTTAGTGGGTGGGAAGGTGGGGGTGGAGATGAGGAGAGAGAGACTGATCCTCTGACATCACATTGGCTCTTATAAACTGAGGGAATGGAGCCCACTGCACTTCACAACCAACCAGAAAACTGCAAGGAAGGGGAAGCGTGTTTGGAGCTGGAAGAGAAGAAGAAGAAGAGGAAGCAGCAGCAGCAGCATCACTACAAAGCTCCTCTTGAGCCTCTTTAGCTGTCTGTGTCTGACCTTTAACCTTATGGACTAAAATCCTCCTCAGGTGAATTCTTCAGTCTTGGATCCTTTGTGTTGTGCTGGTAATCAAGATGCAGGCACAGGTGGCGTGGTTGCTTCTCCTCTGTTTCACATGTGGTGGACTTTGTACAGGTAAGCACCGCAGCTCCCCCAACAGGTTTTTGCATTTATGAATCGTGTTGTGATTTTATGATTAATCACTGACTTTATTCAGAGTAACAAAATGGGGACATAGCCTTGACACACAAGCCAAGTATGAAACAAGTCGCTCACATAACTTACGTATGCAACAGGTGCAGCTGCATCAGTTTGGTGATGCTGTTGCAAGTATTTAAAAACTGCATATTCAAAATCATGGAAAGATGATAAATGCAGTTAGTGGATAACACTTAAAATAAAGATGTTTTTCAGCATAAAAAAAATATTTGTTTGCTACATAAACATGTTTAAGTGAATCAGTTATTTTGAGAAGTTGCTCAAAATCAAAAACATTTTGAGTTAAAATAACACGTTAGAATATCTTAGATAGATAGATAGATAGATAGATAGATAGATAAATTTTATTCCAGACTCAAATCCATATAAAATACATACAAAAATCACAGACAATACAATAAAAACAACACAACAAGTAGGTTTAAAACACATACAGGCAGATTAAAAAAACTGACCACTAAATATCAGCACAGTATTTGGTCAAATATTAATTTGGTTCAACTTAATTAAGCTTTTGCTGTCAAAGTGAATAATGTTGGTTTTTCTAAAATAACTGAATCTGTGAGAGTTTCAAAGAGTTTAATAGGACTGACTCAATAACGCCAGAGTTGGGGCTACTTAAAAAGATGAGTGTCATTTTTACCCCATTTTTTTAGTTGAACCAGTAGATTATTTCTTAGAGTGTATTTCTTGTTTTGAAATAAGAATTTGCACACCAAAGCTTCTTCAAATCATTTTTGAATTTGAATTTGGGTTTTCAGATTAAATACTGAATTACCTCAGCTGCCAAAATTATTTATTCTCCATTTTTCTGGGACCACAACAAAATTTACATTTCTTCAAGACGTTTATTCTTCTTTATTTCTGTGAAGACTGTGACTTATTGATTCAGGGTTCCCTCTCTTCTATGTTCCTATAAACACGTCAATGACCCGATGTAATGACTCCTCATTTAGTTGTTTTAGAACCTATTCTAGCCCATGTTAATACAAAAAGGACCCTCGTAATAAGTCCAAGCAGAATAAAACCTACGTATTAGTATTATGTTTTTATGATTATTTATTTATTCATTTTTTTTATTATTTTTGTTTATTAATTATATTGTCTATTATTTATTTTTTTTATATTATTTCAAATCAAATAAATTCATTTCCATTTATTTATTTCATGTTAAATAAAGGCCACACTGAACTGTGTTTGTGTCTAAATCCAGTGGGAATTAGACTACAGAGTCACTTTTGGTCCAGTGAGTCTGTGAGATGGAAAAATCTTGATCCATCTCTTCTGAATCCTCAAAATTAATACTGTATGTTGTATTAACAAAGCTTTAATGGGTAATGTGCATTTTGCATCACTCTCGGACACACTGGGGGTTCGGCCACCTGTTGAGCACTTAAATGTGGGGACACCGAACCCCCCAACCGCTCGGGGTGCCTGACCAAAGGGCAGCCCCCTCACTCTGACATCTCTCCACTTTGTGCATGTATAGGTCCTGTTTGTGCATGTGTGTGTCTTTCTGACCTGTGTGTTAATGACAAAAGAATGGAAAAAATTGAATTTCCCCTCAGGGGTATTAATAAAGTATATAAAATTAATAAAAAAACAAAACAAATAAGAACACGGGCTGAGTTTGGGCTCAGCTTATTTTGTCTTCACAAATTATTTGAGATATAAATGTTGCAAACTCCTGAAATACGTCTCACAAAGAGGATGAAGCAGTTTAAATGTCAGGAGACAAACTAATGACAGACATTATATTTCCACATCTCGTTGACATTTATTAACACAGCGATCATCAGGATCATTTAACTCTTGACTGGATTTGGATGAAGGTTTTATTCCTGTTTCTCCTCAGACGCTGACCTGGACCAGCGAGCTCTGGAGGAGGAGCTACTCAGCAGTCTCTTCACTTCTAAGGTAGGCACGTCCTTTTTTCGCACCTGTGACATCAGAGACTGAGTATCCAAAATGCTGTGACCTGCCCGATCAGCTCAAGACCCTTCACCTGTCTCCAGCTGAGCCAACACGCAGGCTGCACAGGTGTTCTCTCATGAAATCAGGAGCCATGCTTCAGACACAGCCTCAGCTTCATGGCTGTGCTCATGCTGAGCGGGAAATGGAGGCTTTTTTGTGTCACTCAGGGTCGAACTTATTCAGCTTGTTTTGATTGGAAATGAGATGAGATTCTTTTATACAGCTGAAATGTGCAGAGCAAAAATAAATATAATCCAAACACTTGAGTTGCTGCAGTCGTCCTCCGAGGTGAAAATCAGAGGTGAGGCTGAGGGAAGTAATTCACTTGTAACTTTATGATTTTAACACATTCGTCTGCTGCTGAGTGAGCTCGAGGCCGGGCGAGGCTGAGGGATGAAGTTGGCGAAAGCGGAACTGGAGGCACGAGCAGACGGATGGCTGAACCTAATAGGATTCAGATGGACCTGACAGCATCATAACGACACATCTCCCACCCCTCTCTCTCTGTCTGATGAACAACCACGGCGCTCGTACAGAGACGTGACGGTGACAAATCAGCCATGTGATTCATTGCTGCTGATGCTCGGGGGCTGCTCAGGGGTGATGATTGTAATAATAACTTGCCGGATGACTGATAGAGCGCTCAAGAGGCTGCAAAGTGCAGCATGGTAGAAGACACTTGTGGATCTCTATCTTAACTCGCCCATATACATGATCATTTTTTAAGGCAACAGCTAAATTGATCGACCTGCTGCTCGTCCACTCTTCTTTTTATCTGATTAGATGCAGGACGTAGATTTTTTAGGTTTCTCCACTGAACATGATTGCATTATTCCTCAGCCGGGGTTCATCTCTCAGTCTGGACGATTTGACGTCCCTGTGATTAGTGGCTCGCAATGTTTGAATATAGATTGAGCTTTTAAAACGTCAGATAAGAAATGGTATGGAAATGATGACTGTGGCTGTACGAGTTTAGAGTTGGTGGTTCTGTTACGAAGCCGGGCACCAGCAGAAAACTCAACAGAGACGAGGCTGATGTGTTAATAAAGAAGGGACCACTGGGGATGGTTGGAATATTGGACCCCTGCATTTACTCCTCATCCCACCCTTCAAAGTTAGCGATTAATTACTGGAGAAGATCCTGATGAAACCGCAAAAGAAGCAATCCATCATGTGACCTTTCAGCACAATTAAAACCACACCCAGCAGTTCATTTAAAACTAAATGAAACCCTCTGAAATCGTCGATGCGTGAATGATCTGTAAATGTCAGGATGTTTGCTCCCCTGTGTGTCGTTCTTTTGACGTCTTTTATTACATGTCTCCTCGCTGGCAAACAAAAGGAACCTGCCGTCATCGCGGCTCACGTCTTTACAACATCAGAGGAGAGTCTTTCCCTCCTGACGCTCATAAATGATCTGAGCAAAGTGAGTCTTGGAAGACTGGTGGCCATTTACAATTGCTTAGAAGTGACAATTTCCCCTCGCCTCCTGAATCCCTCCATCATCCTCAGTGACACCCAGAAGTCTTTGCAGCAGTTTGTGTGTGTGAGATCGTTGGCCCACGCATGAGGGGCTCCAGGGCCCTGGGGCCCCTCCACCGTCTTAAAGCACTCAGACTGGATTATAACACGACAGGCTGTAGCTAGATGAGGTTAGATACGACTGAAATATCACCCTGGGTGTGTGGTGTCTAAGAAGAGGACGTATAGATCCCAACTGCTGTCTTAACATGTGGCACTCTGCATCAGTGCTCAGTGTAAAGTGAGAGCTCAGATGAATCCTCAGTGGCTCTTAAAAGGAATCACCAAAAGGTTTTACAGCTTTGACTGTAAAAACACAGCGGGTAAAATTAAAAACAGCATTTAGACCGCAGCACAGAGCCTTCAGTGAAACTAATGAAATGTGGAGAGTTAGCAGCTCGTTAAGGAAAGCTGACCCATGAATGTGTTCATTAAACGTAAGCTGTGAAGGACGACACTTCTCACAATCAATATTCTTAGTTCAATTCAAAAGATGACATTTAACGAGCAAAACATGAGATTCATCATCCACGAGGAGAGAGATTCAGACCTGGGACACAATACAAACCCTACATAAATAACATTTTAAGGACACCAAATACACGACTTCATTGTGAAAGAAGAGTCCAACATGATTTGTCTAAAATAAGCTCAACAAGCCTAGAATTAGAAGTTTGGTTTTGTTTGCAATTTGTCCTAAATAATTGCAGCTATAAAGGAAGTAAAATTGGCTGAATAATTGGTTGAAAGACTGAAATCTGTATGAAAAACAGTGGAAGTTCTCTGGGCCCCTCTCACCCCTTAAAGGCACAGAATGGTTTAGTCCGCCCCTGCACTGGGATTCAAGCGTTTGACTGCTTCTGCTGCTGATATCTTTCCCCAAGAACAGGAAATCAGGGTTCCAAAAAAAGAAAGGAAAGGAAAGAAACTAATTTTGTAAAAATAAATAAATAAATGTGCATGAGAGAGACATGGATCAAGAGAGGAAGGGTGGGGGCAAAGGGCCCAGAGTTTGGTGCTATGCCCCTGTCAGGGAGGAACTCATCACATGTGATTAAATAAGAAAAATATGTAACTTGTATGTATGTCCTTCGCGTTTTTTTTGCTGTGCAGGAATAACGTCTTTTGTAAAAGCCTATTTCTGAATAATTCCCAGCTTTACTGCAGAACATTTATTAGAAAAGTAAATAAATGTAATAACTTATTTTACTTTTAAGTATTTAAAATGTTTACATTACTCATTACATTTTTAACAGGGTAACTAGTGATCTATAATCTATTACATTTCTAAAGCAACCTTCCCAACACTGTAATTTGTGGTATAATTTCTATCACAGTTACAACCAAACACGAGCAACAAAATTAAATATACACGTTCAGATTATAGCAGCAGCTACTGGATTAGTTCGATGGTGGTCATTATGTCTTTAGTTTCTGATAATGGCTTTAGTTGTTCTTTTATCTCAGACATGTTGGGATGTTACATACCTTGACATGTTTCAGCGGAAACTTCCGCCTTCCTCAGAAGTGTCACTTGGTGGTGGTTGTGACGTGTCTTTATCAGCTGATCTGTCAATCATCTGATGTTAGCTGGCGCTGGATCAGGGAGGCTATTGAAATAAGGGGCCCGGGGACGATGAACAGGGACGAGAGGGCATACATGCTCTACCACACCTGGAGCAGCGTCCTGGAGAGACGCAGACGGACAGCAGGTGGCGTGACCGTCCTGTCACGCCTCCCTAATATCGGCTGATTGACAGCTACTGGATTAGATTATATTAAACTGAATCAGTGTTCTTGTTATCGTGTCCACTGTATCATGGCAGCATATTTATAACCAAAGAACACTTTTAAATTTTGTGCAGTAAAGCTGAATGCTGAATAGAAATACTAGACTTTAATATTTAAAATTAAAAAATAGGCTAGTTTTTCAACTTCTTCCAAATATGAGGTTGTTAAAGGGACTGTTCATTATTTATGAGGGTGTGGTGCAATAAGGGGGGCAGGGTGTCAAGTAATGTTTAAGCACTGAGGAGGGACTTGGCTTAGGGGAGCAGCATACAAATTTAAATGGCTGTATTTTGCAATTTTTACTGCTGATTTTTTAAAAATCATGTTGCAAAAATTACACCACTTATCACAGCCAAAAATTGTAAAAACAGAAATTATCAATGGATTTTGACATTTTTTAACACTCCTTGGACACTAGTGATGGTGAGATGAAGCCTCATGAAGCATTGAAGCTTTCCAGCAAATTGGTTCAGAAAAGGGTTCATTTCTCGAGGCTTCGTGTGCACATGAAACCACCTGCTGGCCAAACTGTGTAAAACAGGCAGCTGTGATCTTAACCATGTAATCTGTGATACACGGTGTTTAGTGGCATGTTACGGCTGTTGGGAATGACTATTAATAATAATAATAACAATAATAATAGAATATAATAAAAAATATATGACCATATAACTTCCTTTGTATCAATATAGTGTATTTTCTAGTGAGTATATTATGACTATACTGTATCCAATACATGTATGATAAACTGTTATTGTTTTGTGAATGCATCCTGTGTGTATAAACCAATCATCTGGCCAAAAGTTGTATTGTTGTGTAGTGTCATATAATATAATAATGGCAAAAAGGGTAATATTCGTGTTCTGTGTCACTTCTGTCAAAACCTCGCACCAAGATCTGAACCACTTCCCGAACCAGTGACGTGGTACAGCCGGGCAGCGAGGCTTCGGACATCACCAATGACGTCACTCGTCTGAAACGATACAAGCCTCGATACACGCATCGCTGAAACACTTCCTGGATTACTCGACACACGCTTCGAAGCATCGGCACAGCACGCAACATCACTATTGGACACTTCATGTGCAGTGAATGCTTCCGTCGCGTAAAACAGAGCTTAGAATAGAGATATTATGTCAGAATTTTATCTTCAACTTTTAACTTTCAAACATCAATAGATAAGTTTTAAAAATATAATAACTCATTTATGGTGGAGGTTAGGGTCATGAATATTACACCAGTCACTCAGGGAGGCTCAATGAAAAATATTTGGAGCTTCAGGGAGGGTTACACCCCAGTCACCCTCCTCCTCTGATAAGTAAAGAACGGTCCCTAATCGCTATGTTTTTATCCTCTGTGGTGTCTCTCCCTCTGGGCTCAGTTTTCACTTCAGTTCACGACATTAATTGAAACTTGAATTAAATCCTCTCCTCACGACAACCAGGATCTAATTCATTGCCAAGTTTGAAAACCAGGTTGTTATCTCTCCTGCCCCCCCCCCTTCCCTCTTTGTCAGATGAAACAGAATAAGCAGAGTGCCCCCTACTGGCGCGTGTCGCTGGCCAACCTGTGCAGGATGGTGAGCAGCCTGCGGCAGGAGGCGTGGAGCGGCGAGGAGGAGGAAGAGGGCAGCGAGCTGACGGAGGGAGGCCTCCAGCTGCTGGAGGAGCTGTACAACCTGCAGCTCATCTGTCGAGCACTGCAGAGCCGGGAGGAGAGGGTGAGATACACACATACACACAAATATTGTTGTGTGTTTATGCTGTTGTAGGAAATTAACTTGTATTTTAGTAAAGTCTTTTATGTCCTGCCTGTTGCTGCACAAAAAACAAAACTTAAACCCCACAATGGGATCATATGGTCAGCTGTCTTCTTTTTTCCTTCACTGTATGTGGCATTAATGTGCATTAATGTGTGTATTAAAGCTTGACTGAGTGACATCCTCCTCCTCTCATGTTCTCTCAGGATAAAGTGATGGTCTCAGCAAACATGACAAACATTCTTTTTTTTCATAAACATATGTAGCAGTCCCTCGTTCTTTGGTACCTGCTGGCAGTTCCCTGGTCCCAGTTCATTTTAGCTGAATGTCACATTTCCCCAGAGTTGATTGGGACTTATTCAGATCACCTGTTGTGCAGGGTGTGACTCCTAATTAAAAACTGAGAGCAGCTTGGTTCATTTCCTCTCTGAGCCAATCAGAGTGTGACCACATCCTTTCTTAGGTCTTAAGAGAGGTGAGGAAACGCACAGTCAGGTTTTTCTGATCCTTCCTCAGTCTGATGCAGACCTCATGTTAGCAGACATCTTCAGCCAGAAACTCTGAGGCCGTATTCAAAGTTTCCTTGAACATAGAGTTGCTCCTAGTGAAGAAGATTCTTAGAACTATTACGTTTTGTAAGAAAACTCAAACTTAAGACTCTAGGAATTTAAGACTTGGTCCTGATAAAGATAAAAGTTATTCACAGTGCCTTAAATTAGCTGTTAGGAGCAGGGAGGACTTTTTAGAGGCTTAAGAGTTTCTGAAGCTGAATATAAATGGCAGAAAGACAAAGAGGCAGGTGAGATATATTCTCTGCATTACAGCGAGCCAATGAAACACTACAGATTGTGTGGGGATGATGTTTGTTGTCGACCTCCTTAGTGATACACACACATTTCCCACCCAGCGCAATTAAAAATAAAACGGCAGAAATAAAACGATCACGGGGTGTTGGTGGCTTAGTGGTAGAGCAGACGCCCCATGTACAAGGCTGTTGCTGCAGCGGCCCGGGTTCAACTCCAGCCTGTGACCCTTTGCTGCATGTCTCTCCCTCTCTCTCTCCCCCCTTCACACTCATCTATCCTATCAATTAAATGCTTAAAAATGCCCCAAAAATATCTTAAAAAAAAAAAAAAGAAATAAAGCAATCACAAGACGGAGATACTTGTTAACTAGAAAAGTGCAACAGTGCAACAGTGATGAGTTGAGTCTGTCTCAACTGATCTCACTAACAATGACAACACTTTCAGTCTCATAATGTGATGCAGTTCCTTTCATTTCCACTGGGTGTCCTCACGCCTTACAGGCTCACAAAAGGGCATGTCTGTGACAACCAATCACATCTGTTAAAAGAATGCATCATATCTAGCAATAGAGTCGACCACACCTCCTCACCAAGAGAGAAGTTTCTTTTCCTTTTTTGCTCAGAGTTACTCTGAAAACATTCCTAAATCACTCCTAAGCTCAGACTCCTTGCTAGAAAAATTTAGGCTGTGTTGGAAGCTCTCTGAGTGTTCTCAGACTGTGTGTGAATACGGCCCCTGGTCTCGAGGCCCAGTTGAGAATTCATTGCCGTCTTTTTGTTGTTCAGTTTGAGGGTGATTTTGTGCATTCTGAAACCCGAGTGCGAATATTAGAGAACACCTTTCCACCAGGTCACCTGCGACTCCTGTAGCTTTATGCAAAAGCAAACATTTTAGCAGTAAAACAGTGTCCAAGTTAAATTACTAATTAGTGTTTCTTTTAGAGGTTTAAATGTCTGACATGTTGGAGGCAACACGGATCCACACTTCTGTGCTCTGAGGCACAGCTCAGACTAAAGGTTTGCAATGAAACAAAAACGATTAAGAACATTACAGAGAAAAGTGTCAGCGGTGTGAACTGACCGGTCTGAGCTCGACTCAAGCCGGCTGATGATGTCACCTGGCTGGTCAAATACCCCGTCTCATGGTGGTCACTTCCTGTCAACGTTACAGATCAGAAGTACAGAGAATTGTTGACTAGAGATGATACGCCGTCTCATGGTGGTCACTTCCTGTCAACGTTACAGATCAGAAGCACAGAGAGTTGTTGACTAGAGATGATACACTGTCTCATCGTGGTCACTTCCTTTGAACCGCCAGCTTGTTGCAACGTTACAGAACAGAGCGTTGACAGTAGTTGCCTGTTTCAGCTCGTCTTGTCGCGAATCTTGAACTGGACATTATACGGTTGCACATCTACATGTTGCTTAAGAGAAGTTGCTTCATGAGGCCTGATGTCTGCAAAGCAACTAGATATGAAAGTACAATATTTCTCTTTTGAAATAGTTTTAAAAAGGAAGTGACTTTCTGGTTCAAATATAAAATGCCTAAAATACAGAGAACCACTTCTATCTAATTGCACTTTTATTTATTATTCATGCCAAAAACCAAAACAAAAATAAGCCAATAACAGCACACACATTCACAAATATACACACACTAAACACAGGCAGGTCCTTACAGGCTCACCCTGAACCTCACTCATCTCACAAACATGCACACAAGAGCTCATCCATCCTCCCTCACAGTAAACACACCTCATTAAACGTCAGTCTCTGTGTCTCACCTCCTCCTTGTCTCCTTCTCCTCCTCCTCCATCATTTTCCTTTCACACAACAGCTTCTCTCTCCTTTTTTAAATCTTAACACAGCGACAGCAGATTAGCACCTGTTTTGCCATGCATGGAAGCACAGAGGAGGAGGGCTCGTTTAATCACTGCGACACCGCCGTAGCCTCCCATTACCCTGCCACTCAGCGACAAAACATGTGTTTGCTGCCATTTCCTCCTCGCCGTGTGACACTCATCCCCCGCCGTGTCTCTCTCTGTCCCTAACAGCTACTCCACGACTCTCAAGAATATTTAGAGGAGAACGGCGGCACTCCGCTCAAACGAAAATCACCCTACATCCTGAAGAGGCAAGCGTCGCACACCACCAAGTCCCGGAGGCCGTACATCTTAAAACGAAGTACAATTTACTGACAACCATCCCGGAGGCCGAAGTGACGTTTCAGGGGACCAGACACTTCCTGTGAAGATGTGATTGTGTTTTTTTTCTCTCTTTCTGTAGCTGCGATGTCTATTTTTCTTTTCCCGTTGTGGTTTTCATCCCGTCAGACCCTTGGATTGTGTGTCCAGCATTGAGGCCTGCCTGTATTCTGCTCCTTTCAAAGTCAAGGTCCTGAAAATAAAATCCTGAGCATCAAGCAAATTGTGTATCTCTGAGAAACTATATTTATTTACTCGATTTCCTCACTGCACACTGAGTCTTTTTTGTTTCAGGATATGATTAAAGGATTCATGATACGAAACCACTGTGATGTGATGATCTTTTCTTTAGTGTGAGCTGCTTCACAAACCACCTCTCTGTACCTTCTTGCTTACCACAGGGCCGGAGCTACCAGCATACACCATCCTCCAAATGTGTATTCATCTGCCACTGAGATAGTCCCCAACAAATGCACTTTGCTCAAATATTACAGTGTCCAGCTATTTCAGGAAATTACCAAGCAGGACCGTGATCACCTATTTAACACCGTAGGCGACCATTTTCAGACGACACCCTCTGCAACCAGACCTTCCAGGGGATGCTGGGTGGAATTCCCCCCAGAGGAAATCATATGAAACTTAACAGCCAAACACACCATTAAAGAGCATTTTGAATCAAAAATCTTAGATCAGGGTTCTTAACTTTTTGATGACCTGGGTGTTATTTCTCGAAAGCCAGCCATAACTGAGGGCTGCAGAGGAAAAGTGCACACTCTTTGACATTTTCATGGCATACTAACACTTCACAGAAACTCTTATACTCTACAGTAATATGGCTGATTTGACACTCATATTACACCTTCACTTTTTTAGATAAATTTGAAATTACTGAAATAGAGAGTCCAGTGTTTGACATTGATTGTACCAACTGCAAATGAGCAACAGCTTCTGCTGGGATACAACAACACTACTTGGACTTGAGACTTGAGCCTGTGGTGATAATAATAGCAATTTGTAAAGTTTATTAATATTCTGATTACATTTGCTAAGGATTATTTTGGACTGCAGTGCATGGTTACCTTTCATAGCACAGCAATTTTTTCTTTATTTTTTTTTTTTTACGAAGTTGTTGAATACCAGTGCTTGGTCAGTGACTTCTGGCGTCAGACACTGATGGAAAAAAGCCCTTTCATGTCAACATTATACACAGCAGATCAGCTTCATTGTTTAATAGCACCCAGCAGTGTCATGGGGAAGCGCAGCGGGACAACAACGTAAGTTAAGGTGGGCAGGAGGGGTGGTGGAGGGGTCCAACAACCACCAGCTTTCACCCAAGAGGCTGGTGTTCACTTCCTGTAAGATTGTAAAGCCAAACCCTGTTCTTTTTTCCCAAACCCAACCACATGTTTGTACCGACGTAGTGCTTTTATTTTGACAGATACTGTATGCAAACTGTACATTTCCTGTGAAAACAGAAGTGTAGTTTGAAAACAGACAATGCATGTAACAGGCTGAAGTTGACATGGTGTCCCAGAACGTCAACAACCAACACACCCAGGGTACCTTGGACGTCATATGTGGACGTGGAAAGTCCATGACCAAACGTGGACATGTGACGAGGTCGCGGTGAGAATGTGATTGAAATGATCAGCGATTGGGAATGATCAAGATTCTGTTTATTTATATTTAT